GTGTGTGTGTGCGTGTGTGTGTGTGTGTGTGTGTGTGTGTGTGTATATATATATTTACAACAACAACAAGAATTGCGTAATGTTTCTATTTGTAGAATTGCGTCATTGTTTCTATTTATAGAATTGCGTCATTGTTTCTATTTTTATAGAATTGCGTCATTGTGTCTATTTTTAGAATTGCGTTATTGTTTCTATTTTTAGAAATTGCATCATTGTTTCTATTTATAGAAATTGCGTCATTGTTTCTATTTATAGAAATTGCGTCATTGTTGCTATTTATAGAAATTGCGTCATTGTTGCTATTTATAGAAATTGCGTCATTGTTGCTATTTTTAGAAATTGCGTCATTGTTTCTATTTTTAGAAATTGCGTCATTGTTTCTATTTTTGGAAATTGTGTCATTGTTTCTATTTTTGGAAATTGCGTCATTGTTTCTATTTATGGAAATTGCGTCATTGTTTCTATTTATGGAAATTGCGTCATTGTTTCTATTTTTAGAAATTGCGTCATTGTTTCTATTTTTAGAAATTGCGTCATTGTTGCTATTTTTAGAAATTGCGTCATTGTTTCTAATTTTAGAAATTGCGTCATTGTTGCTATTTATAGAAATTGCGTCATTGTTGATAGTTTTAGAAATTGCGTCATTGTCGCTAGTTTTAGAAATTTGCGTCATTGTTGCTAATTTTAGAAATTGCGTCATTGTTGCTACTTATAGAAATTGCGTCATTGTTGCTATTTATAGAAATTGCGTCTTTGTTGCTATTTTTAGAAATTGAGTCATTGTTTCTATTTTTAGAAATTGCGTCATTGTTTCTATTTATAGAAATTGTGTCATTGTTGCTATTTATAGAAATTGCGTCATTGTTTCTATTTTTAGAAATTGCGTCATTGTTTCTATTTATAGAAATTGTGTCATTGTTGCTATTTATAGAAATTGCGTCATTGTTTCTATTTTTAGAAATTTCGTCATTGTTGCTATTTTTAGAAATTGCGTCATTGTTGCTATTTTTAGAAATTGCGTCATGTTGTTATTTTTAGAAATTGCGTAATGTTGCTATTTTTAGAAATTGCGTAATGTTGCTATTCATATATATATACAAAATATATAAACAAAACTAACGTGACAAGACAGACCAACTAAATTTATAAAAAGGAAACGTTGTGATATGTTCAAACCTTTCTATGTTTGCGTTTAGAAAAAGTAAAAAGTAGAGCGTTGCCCCCGCCCGGCGGTGGCTCTTGTTAAGTTTATGTGTAAAGAAAAAACTTATAAAAAAACCCAATGTTTAGCATGAAACATCTAATGGGTGTCTTCCAAGTTTGTTCAAATAAAAGCCCTGGGGTTTAAACTGGCCCCGCTCCGGGGGGCCTATATACAGGTGAGCGACTTTAGGGCCATCATGGCCCTCTTGTTTAATGATTTCTTTTTTTCTGAATGTATCTACTTCAAACTTCATATAATATGTTTCTTATTATCACTCAACATTCGTGAGAAAGTTCAATACTCTAGCAAGACTTTTTCCAGAATTATGCCCCTTTTGAACTTAGACTTTTTTTCGAGAAATTGGTAATTTTTACTCCAACTGCTTCAATCATTATAGGATTTTCTTCAAACTCCCACATCATAATAATATGACAAAGTTTATAAATCTAGCATCCATATTTTCAGAATTATCTCCTCCTTAAACTTTGAATTTTTCTTATTCGTTCTTTAAACTTTCTTTTACTTCAAATTCAAAATAAACATTCATTATCAATACCTTCATTACTAATTGTTCTTTGTTACACTCACATCATGTATGACGTCTTGCATCTTTATTTCAAGAGTTATCTCCTTTTTAAGAATTTTGCTTTTAAAAATGTTATATTTTGATAACAGGAATGTTTAAAAAAATAACTTTAGAGTGTCCTTAAATCCGTCTGTCTGTCTGTACATAAAAACTGTTTCCTGTGATCACTTTTAAAGAACTTTTTCAACAAATTTACTTAAAATAGAAACATAAGTGAATGGCCAATGGCCCTTCAGAATGTTGCTGGGGTTCTAACCGGTAGGGGACTTATGGATTGCTTGCAATACTATGATAATTGCTTGTTGAAAGATGACGTTTACCTTTGCACAAGTAAATATAAATAGAAATCTGCCATGTATGATGATGTTCCACTTGTTCAAATTTTGAGAGCGCTAAAAACTTTTGCACACGTCACTTACTTGGACCATATTGTACATATTTTAGGACCAGTTTTATCAAATGATTTCCTTTAACCTTATAGGAGGGACAATTCATGAACCCTGTGTGATTCTTAAGAAGCTCATCAATTTTCTGGTGTTAATCTAATTGATATGGATGGGATCCCAATGGGATTGATATGCCATTTCACTGGGATCCCAGTCAGCAGGATCCCGGTACCATTATCCCACCGGAATTAATTTACATCCCGCTTAAATGATGATATCCCACTGGGATTTAATCATCCCAACGGGATCCCACTCCCAAATTGATTTTCTGTAGGGAGCTCTAAGAATAGTCCAGCGTTGCTGTCCTACTGACAGCTCTTGTTTTATGAAAGCCACACTTTATCCTTATATATGGTGGCTACTTCCTTAAAAATGACACTTAAAAAAAAAAAAGTTGCTTTGACTGGGATTTCAACCCCAGACCTCTCACACCCTAAACGTGCACGTTACCCCTGCACCACGGGGAAGTTATACGAAGAAAGCCTGAATAAAATCAAATAATTTCTAAATTCAGAAGTTCCATTAAGGGTTTGTAATCCTTATTAATTTCAAGGTATTTTGTTCACAGTAAACTCAGTGGCGGATTCAGGCCCGACCTTCAGGCGAACTAAGTTAAACTGTATAAAAAGATGGTATTTAAGAAAAATAACTGCAACTGCATTTCAAAGTTTAATACATTTACTGCTTTGTAAAAACAGTTAATACCTATTTTTTGCCAAGTAAAAATTCTTTTAATATTCTTTAAACAATTATTGCCTTATGGCCTTTTTATCTTAACATTAGACATATCTGCACATTGTCTTTCATTTGACGTGCTGAAATACATTTTATGACCTTGACCTCCAAATTCAATAGACATTACTGCATTATGGCAAAGTATAATTGTATAGAAACAATAAAGTCTACTTCTGTTATATTAGTGTGGTGGCATAGCATTTATTCACATTTTTAACAGTTCTACATAATATCGGAAAATATGAATTTGAACAATGTAAATAAAGCTTCAAATTTGCAGTAAAGGTTCAAAACGGGCTTTTATGGTCAACTTTGACGTCTTGTGTACAAAAATTGGCTGAAACTATTGCAATAAAATCAACAGAATTTCATCAGAGATATGGTCAACTTTTTACATGCCAATTTTCAAGAATCTTCCCGAAAGTTCGCAAAGTGTCGCGTTCTACCCTAACGGACATATTAAATAACTAAAAATTCAATTTAAAATGCAGAATACAATGCATATTTTTGTGCCCCCCACTTTAGTGGCGAGCATTTAGATTTACCCTTGTCCGTCCGCGCAAACATTTTGGGTTTAGGGGCTATATAACAGTAAGGAGAACAATAGGTTCATTCCGTGATCAAAGGGTTTATGGGCTAGTAGCGTTTAAAAAAACAAAGAAAATAGCCCCTAAACCCAAAATGTTAGAACATCCGTCCATCCTTCCGTCCGTCCGTTTTCTTTTGTGTCGCTTGTAACTCAAAAAGTATTTGACCTAGAATCATGAAACTTTACAGGAATGTTGATCAGCATGTGTAGTTGTGCACCTGGGTATTTTCGTCTGGATATTTTTAGTCTTTTTTGGATAGCCCTTCACTTAGTAAAAATTTTGCAATTTTCAACTTGTGTCGCATGTAACTCAAAAAGTATTTCACCTAGAGTCATGAAACTTTACAGGAATGTTGATCAGCATGTGTAGTTGTGCACCTAGGTATTTTTGTGTGGATATTTTTAGTATTTTAGAGTTATTGCCCTTGACTTAGTAAAATTTTGAAATTTTTACTTGTGTCGCATGCAACTCAAAAAAGATTTGACATAGAGTCATGAAACTTTACAGGAATGTTGATCAGCATGTGTAGTTGTGCACATGGGTATTTTCGTCCGGATATTTTTAGTATTTTTAGTGTTATTGCCCTTGACTTAGTAAAATTTTGCAATTTTCAACTTGTCGCATGTAATTCAAAAAGTATTTGACCTAGAGTCATGAAACTTTACAGGAATGTTGATCAGCATGTGTAGTTGTGCACCTGTGTATTTTCGTCTGGATATTTTTAGAGTAATTACCCTTGAAGTAAAATTTTTGCAATTTTCAACTTGTGTTGCATGTAACTCAAAAAGGATTTGACATAGAGTCATTAAACCTTACGGGAAGGTTGCTCAGCATATTTTGTTTTGCACCTTGGGTTTCGCTAGTGGATTTATCCAGTATTTGTAGAGTTAATTCCCTTGACTTAATAAAAACTGTTTCATTATGTTGTTATTTGTTCCTTGAGTGCTTGAGTTAGAATCAACCAACTTTACAGGAATAATGATAAATATCACTAAATTACAGGAATAATGATTCACATCAGTGTGAAGCTATGAACCTGGGACTTTGCATGTGGATTTTTTTCAGTTTTGTTAGAGTTATTGCCCTTGACTTACAGTAGTATAAATTTGCAATTTTCAACTTGTCTTGCATAGCTCAAAAAGTATTTCACTTGTAGGCCTGAAAGTTTACAAGAATGTTGGTCAGCATGTGTACTTATGCACCTTGGGGTTTGCTTGTGGATTTATTCAGTATTTGTAAAGTTCTTGCCCTTTACTTAGTTTTCAAAAAATATTTGACCTAGAGTCATAAGATTGACAGAACAGTGGCACGGTGGGGGCACCCATGTCCTATGGACACATTTCTAGTTTAGTCTTATTCTATATCAAGTTTTCAAACTAAATATTTAACTTTTGCATGCAACATTAATTATATTTTCTTTTTTCTCATACTAATTTAAGAAAACGACTATGACCACCGATATGAACGACAATTACCCTCAGCAAGTATCAGATGATCAAGCCAAGTCTGAGAGAAGTAAAATGGTATTATCAACTGGTATTTCACTTCCGGCAAATTTTCACTGTGACTCAAGATTTGTTTTAGGTGGGCGTAAACAAACGTCACATGGACTGAACAGTTTCGGTTTAAACCCACTAAATACATATGTCAGCCAAGCTCAACAAAGCAGACAGGGAAATGAAGTCCGTTCTTCAACAATAAGATTAAGAAGTATCATTTCAAACAACCCTGTCATTACAAGGCCACCTAGGCACCCCGACTATGTTGATAGTAGCGAAAGGCGTCCATCTTATGCTAGGTGGTTGCATCGAAAACAAATATTGACCGATGCTGGATTCTTCTATACAAGTAAGTGAACTGACAAGAAGCAAATGTCAAGAAATGTGAATGATTTTATAGAGTAACACAATAAATGTTTCTATAAATAATAGAGTTGGGTACCGCCAGAAAGAAAAAACCACGGTATAAACTGGCGTGGTATACCACGTATTTTTGGCTCACCTTAGCATATGCTCAGGGTGAGCTATTAGGATCACTCTTCGTCCATCGCCTGTCGTCCGTCGTACGTTGTCCGTTCACACTTTTCAAACGACATCTCCTCTGAAACCATAAGGCAGATCATAATGAAACTTCACAGGGATGTTCCTTGTGTGAAGCCTTAACAAAGTTGTTCAAAGAATTCCATTCCATGCAGAACTCTGGTTGCCATGGCAACCAAAAGAAAAAACTTTAAACATCTTATAAAAACTTCTAAAAAACCCAAAGAGCTAGAGCTTAGATATTTGGCATGAAACATCTTCTAATCGGTGTCTACCAAGTTTGTTCAAATTAAAGCCCTGGGGTCAAAATTGGCCCCGCCCCAGGGGGTCATTGATTTTCCCTATATGCATATAGTAAAAACTTAAAAAAGTTTCTTTTAAAGAACCCAAAGAGCTAGAGCTAAGATATTTAGCATGAAACATCTTCTAATGGGTGTCTGCCAAGTTTGTTCAAATAAAAGCCCTGGGGTGAAAATTGGCCCCGCCCCAGGGGGTCATTGATTTTCCCTATATGCATATAGTAAAAACTTTAAAAAATCTTCTTTTAAAGAACCCAAAGAGCTAGAGCTAACATATTAAGCATGAAACATCTTCTAATGAGTGTCTACCAAGATTGTTCAAATAAAAGCCCTGGGGTGAAAATTGGCCCGGCCCCAGGGGGTCATTGATTTTCCCTATATGCATATAGTAAAAACTTAAAAAATCTTCTTCTAAAAAACCCAAAGAGCTAAAGCTTAGATATTTGGCATGAAACATGTTCTAATGGATGTCTACCAAGTTTGTTCAAATAAAAGCCCTGGGGTCAAAATTGGCCCCGCCCCAAGGGGTCATTGATTTTCCCTATATGCATATAGTAAAAACTTAAATTTTTTTCTTTTTTTAAGAACCCAAAGAGCTAGAGCTAAGATATTTAACATGAAACATCTTCTAATGAGTGTCTACCAAGTTTGTTCAAATAAAAGCCCTGGGGTCAAAATTGGCCCCGCCCCAGGGGGTCATTGATTTTTCCCTATATGCATATAGTAAAAACTTAAAAAAATTTCTTTTAAAGAACCTAAAGAGCTAGAGCTTAGATATTTAGCATGAAACATGTTCTAATGTGTGTCTACCAAGTTTGTTCAAATAAAAGCCCTGGGGTCAAAATTGGCCCCGCCCCAGGGGGTCATTGATTTTCCCTATATGCATAAATTAGTAAAAACTTAAAAAAATCTTCTTTTAAAGAACCCAAAGAGCTAGAGCTAAGATATTAAGCATGAAACATCTTCTAATGAGTGTCTACCAAGATTGTTCAAATGAAAGCTCTGGGATCAAAATTGGCCCCGCCCAAGGGGGTCATTCATTTTCCCTATATGCATATAGTAAAAACTTAAAAATCTTCTTCTAAAAAACCCAAAGAGCTAGAGCTTAAATATTTGGCATGAAACATGTTCTAATGGATGTCTACCAAGTTTGTTCAAATAAAAGCCCTGGGGTCAAAATTGGCCCCGCCCGGGCTGACATTGATTTTCCTTTTATGTGTATAGCAAAAACTTAAAAATCTTTATGAAAAAACCCGAATAGCTAGAGTTTAGATATTAAGCATGAAACGTTTTCTAGTAAGTGTCTACAAAGATTGTTCAAATAAAAGCCCTTGGGTCAAAACTGGCCCTGCCCCAGGTGTGTCATTGTTTTTAACTATATGTGTAAAGAAAAAAACTTGACCAGCTAGACCTTAGATGTTAAGCATGAAATATCTTCTAATGGTTGTTTACCAAGTTTGTTCAAATAAAAGCCCTGGGGTTTAAACTGGCCCCGCTCCGGGGGCCTATATACAGGTGAGCGACTTCAGGGCCATCATGGCCCTCTTGTCATTGTATGCTATAGGTTTATTTTTTATCTCAAGGTAGGCTGGTATAGAATTTCAAATATTAAATTTAAGCTGATCTATAAAATGCAGATTAATCAAAGCATCATTTAACTTTTTAGCTCACCTTGCACATAGTGCAGGTGAGCTTTTAGGATGGCCAATCAAATGTGTCCGTCGTCTGGCGTCCGTCCACATTTTATTCAAACGACATCTTCTATAATATTACTTGGCCAATATCAATGAAACTTGGCAGGAATACTCTTTGTATGAAGATCTATAAAGATTGTTCAAAGAATGCCATTCCATGCTAAACTCTGGTTGCTATGGCAACTAAAAGAAAAAACTTAAAAGTTCTTATACTTCAAAATGGAAAGGGCTAGAGCTTAGATATTTCTCACACGGCATAAGCTTGTTGGTTTCTATAATGTATATTCAAATTATGGTCTCTGTTTTGGGGGTTAAAGGGTTTTTTTTATTGCATGATTATATAGACTTTCTTTGTAGGGATAAATTGAGATAGTGTATCTTGTATTTTTTGTCTCAACAGTCATTGTTATGAAGATTTTTTTGTTAAAGCATTAGAAAGGTGAAAATGTTGTTGAATGTGAATGTTAATTCAAAACAAAGTCAATCAGAATAGCACAAATTTGAGAGCTACAGTGAAGTTGATTTCCCCATCCAATAATGGATTCTTCCATTAATTTCGTAACACCATCAGAAAGGAGATTGTGTCATTTCCGAAATACAATGTAAAATATTTCGGTTCTTGACAAAGACTTGCAGATTTTATTGTGTAAGATATTGCACAAAGAAACGAAAGTGAACAAAAAATGTTGTATTCTTTTCACAAAAATTAGCTGATTAAGATAAAAGTTTAATTTACAGTACGGATTTATCTTAAATATATCCTTCTGGTTTGCGGGAAAATCATATACATGTATTTCAACATTGTGTACACCGGTCATACTTATGAACGAATTATGTCATAATATTTCATTCTGAGAACAAAACATACAATTCAAGTCATTAAATTAAATGCATATCAATCAGTCCATTCAACAACTTTGCCTCAGAAAACATCTGTATCAAATCTGACCTATAAACAAAAACTAAACCGGAAGTATGACAAAATGGCAGCCTTGCAAAAGAAAATTGAGAAATTTTTGTAACATAAATTGTATTTTCAAAACAAAGAAGTGAAGATGAATACAATTATCGGTGTGCTTCGTTGAAACAAATTTTGTTAAACTATTGTGAAGTATTAAGGCATGACATTCAGTATTTTTGTAAAATATTCACCTCCCATGTTATGATTTCTAAAAATAATACATGTTACAGGGTTCTCGGGGACGCTTATTTCGTGTCCCGGTACGCATGTTTATTACAGTTGGACGCAAATATTTCAGAGCAAGGATTCTGCGTACGCTTTAAGTTTTTGCCTGGGGACGCATAAAAATTACCAATTGTTAACAACCACAAATAGACAAATACGTCAGCATGTGTCAGTCTGATAGGTACAGGCGGTCCTATGCACATCGACCAGTGAAGTGATTAGCCAATCAGTGATAACACTTTCGATCATTATAACGCAATAGAGATACATGGCTGTAAATGTAATTACCAGATAAAACACGAGGTGATAATTATGCCCCCACAAAGTGGGAGCATATAGCGTTGCACTTGTCCGTCCGTCTGTCCGTACGTCCCGAAATCTTGTGAACGCAATTCCTCTTAAACCGGATGGCAGATTTTGCTTAAACTTCCAGGGATAAACAACCTTAATGTGTAGATGGTAGTAAAGGAAGGAATTTTTGCTGCGACCAAATTTAACAGAATTATGGCCCTTTGTTGATTTTTTCACTATATACTATGTAAAAATTTTGTGAACACAACTCCTCTTAAACCGGATGGCAGATTTTGATTAAACTTCCAGGGATGAACAACCTTAAAATGTAGATGGAAGTAAAGGAAGGAATTTTTGCTGCGACCAAATTTAACAGAATTATGGCCCTTTGTTGAGTTTTTCACTATATACCATATAGAAATTTTGTGAACGCAACTCCTCTTAAACGGGATGGCAGATTTTGCTTAAACTTCCAGGGATGAACAACCTTAATGTGTAGATGGAAGTAAAGGAAGGAATTTTTGCTGCAACCAAATTTAACAGAATTATGGCCCTTTGTTAATTTTTTCACTATATACCATATAGAAATTTTGTGAACGCAACTTCTCTTTAAACGGGATGGCAGATTTTGCTTAAACTTCCTGGGATGAACAACCTTAATGTGTAGATGGCAGTAAAGAAGGAATTTTTTGCTGTGACCAAATTTAACAGAATTATGGCCCTTTGTTGATTTTTTTTCACTCTATACCATATAGAAATTTTGTGAACGCAACTCCTCTTAAAACCGGATGGCAGATTTTGCTTAAACTTCCAGGGATGAACAACCTTAATGTGTAGATGGAAGTAAAGGAAGGAATTTTTGCTGCGACCAAATTTAACAGAATTATGGCCCTTTGTGATTTTTTTCACTATATACCATATAGAAATTTTGTGAACGCATCTCCTCTTAAACGGGATGGCAGATTTTGCTTAAACTTCCAGGGATGAACAACCTGAATATGTAGATGGAAGTAAAGGAAGGAATTTTTGCTGTGACCAAATTTAACAGAATTATGGCCCTTTGTTGATTTTTTCACTATATACCATATAGAAATTTTGTGAACGCAACTCCTCTTAAACGGGATGGCAGATTTTGCTTAAACTTCCTGGGATGAACAACCTTAATGTGTAGATGGTAGTAAAGGAAGGAATTTTTGCTGTGACCAAATTTAACAGAATTATGGCCCTTTGTTGATTTTTTCACTATATACCATATAGAAATTTTGTGAACGCAACTCGTCTTAAACCGGATGGCAGATTTTGCTTAAACTTCCAGGGATGAACAACCTTAATGTGTAGA